AATCAAATTCAACAAGTATGCTTAAATTGGGACTACTACATGTCTTATAAATATTCTGTGAGAATGTTATATTATATCCTCCTTATTCCTTTGGTCATGTGGCTTGTACCCTAACTAATACATGATATACTTAGAAAAGGAAGTTTATAATGAAGAGGCTTCCACATTTATTTCAGTTTCATTTTCTGTTCCTTGTAGACATGTGCTAGAGAGATTAAGGTTATTCTGCAATAACTGCCCCTTGGCTTTTGACAATAAGGGTCCAGTCACTAAACTTACAAAAGTAACAGCAAGTTCATGAGTAAAACTAAATTTTCTATGAAGTGTTTTCTCAGTTGAACGTATGGAGATATGCTTATCACATCAACCAAGACTTAAGTGATGCGTAGTAAGAAATAAATGGAATTATATTTCTACACTATAGCTCTCATGGTATAATTTTTCTAGTGGTAATTTCTCTTAAGGTATTATTTTGTATTCTTTCTTAAATACTATTTTGCAAATACAGTTCATCTATCTGAAATTGAGTTATATTGTTTTTTGAGAATGTAATAATCGTCAGTGCAATTTAAGCTGTGCTTAATTACACTGTTGTTTCTGTTTCAAAATTGAGGACACATTTCAATTTCTTCAGAGAGATATTTCTATGAGCTTGAAAAGGAAAATTACCTTGCATGTCTTTTAGAACTTGCGCAATGTTCTTCAATAGTATTTTCTTCCCAACAGTATCCTAAAATGTAGTACCGGAAAATATATATTTATTATTGAAAAATGTGAAAAACTATATTTACTGTCTTCAGTGAACTTTAGAACTTCTACTGATTTATTTACCACATTCTTTTTTCTCTCTCAATAAAATTAAAGAGGAGCATCAATAACCAATTGATGTTGTCCTATTATTTTAAAATATGAAGTAAAATACAGTCTTACCTATATCAGTGAGGTTCCTGAAGGTCTCCAGCATAACATCTATGTAGAGATTCTTCTGAGAAGTATCCAGCAAAGTCCACTCTTCCCAAGTGAAGT